ATTTATGAAAGAGCTCTTGGTCCCCAGACTGATAGCTGGGAAACGAGCATGGGACTGATGCAGACCCCCTGAATGTGGGTGTCAGTGATGAGACCTTGGAAATCTATGGGACCTCTTGTAGTGGATCAGTACTTATCCCTAGCATAGGAATGGACTTTGGGAGCCCATCCCACATGGAGGGATACTCCCTGAGCCTAGACACAAGGAGGTGGGCCTAAGCCCTATGGCAAAGGATATGACAGACTCTGAAGACCCCCTATGGGAGGCCTCACCCTCCCTTAGGAGCAGCAAGGGTATGGGACAAGTAGGGTGTTAGTTGGGGGTGAGCAGGGGAGGAGGGGAGGGAAAGGGACCTGGGATTGACACATAAAATAATTTTCTTTCTAATTAAAATTTAAAAAAGATTAAAAATAAAATCTGTAACAGCTTGCTTCCATGCCCGAATCCACTGTAGCTCTGGGGTGAATACCTGCCATCTTGAACCATCTTTTACATCACAGGAGGGTGATGTAATTTTTCTCAAATCAGTCTGATTGCCTGAAGACCATGAGAAATAACTGCTTGTCCACACAAAATGCCAGCCTGATTATAAATATTTTTAGTTTTTTGTTTGTTTGTTGTTTAAGAAAATCTCTATATAGTCCTGTCTGTTCTGAAACTTACAATGTAGAACATTGGCCTGAAACTCACAGAGAGTTCTACTGCCTCTTCATCTAGAGTGCTGGGATTTCTGGTATGTGCCACCACACTCAGCCTCCAAAATTCTAATGTATCCCTGAAACTAAGCCTTCTGAACTCCTACCTTAAGGCTTGATGTCATTCTTCTCACCATAAACTACCCTGAACCACGGGCTAACAGCTCAATTTTATAGGTATGTACATTTATATGCATGTATATTTGTGTGTGTGTGTGTGTGTGTGTGATTTTATAATGTGATGCTACATCTGGGAAAGTATTTACTATAGAGCCATCTATTTATTATCATATTATGGAATACAGTGGAACAAAACCAACCTAATGAAGAAAAGAAAATGAAAAAAAAAAAAAACCTTGGACACTCTTCTCAGCTCTTATAACAATGACATTCCAATAAAACAATCTACTTCTCTTTGATCCTCAGTCATGTCACCTTCAAAATGGGAACGCAGGTATTCTGTGTCCTTTAAAGGACTGTGTCCTTTGTGAAATACACTAGACAAAACAATGCTCTGCAGTGACTTTTGTATGCATTGTCCCTGACTTCTGTATCTCAAGGTCATGGCTTTCAATCCTGCTTATGTGACTCAAGTGGCAAACAGCAACTCTGTATGTCTCTGAGCTAGGGCCTCTGCATATACCTTATGGCTGTATAACTTGGTGGTTTGTGGGACTCCCAACAATTGGAGTCAGGAGTGTTTCTTACTCTTTTACCTGTGCTTAGAACCCTTTTTCTCCTATTGGAGTCTAATCCAGACATGATATTTTGCTTTGTGCTTGGTCTTACTGTAACTTGTTAGGCCATGTTTGGTTGATATCCCTGGGAGGTCTGTTTTTGTTTTGGTAAACAGGGGAGGAGTTAATTTGGAGGAGAGGGGAGGTAGAGGGAGCAACTAAGAGGAGTGCAGGAAGGAGACACTGTGGGGATGTAATGTGTGACAGAAGAATAGAATAAATAAATAAATAAATAAATAAATAAATAAATAAATAAATAAACCCTGCTTAGTCCATCCCTTTGGATAACACCCAATTGCTTTAGCAACTGCCAATTTTCAAGAAAAATTCCTTTCTCTTCCAAAAACTGACCTTAAGTAAAACTAGCTGACCTGGAGCTCTCTTCTGACCACCTGATCTTAGGTAGTTGAGTTTTGTGGTGAGTGGGGACAGGTTTTGTTTTTGCCATTCTGTGTGTGTTGTTTGCTTTGCTTTTAAAATATTCATTGCTTTGTTTTCTTTTTTTTTTTACTAAAAATAGTTTCATTCCTCACATACTATACCCTGGCTGCTGACCCCCAGAGAGGCTTTATTTGTGCAAGAAGCATATCGGCACATCTGGATATGATTTCAATTCCCTCTGTTGCTCCCAGTTTCTCTGTACCTCCCTTCCCATCAGGATCCACTCCCTTTCTGTTTCTCATTAAAAAAGAACAGGCTTCTGAAGGATAATAATAAAATACAACAAAATAAAATACACGATAAAACAAAACAACCATCATATCATAGATTGACAAATAAACAGAAGGAAAAGAGCCCAGGAAAAGGCACAAGAGATTACTAAACACTGACCCATGTATCAGGTGCATTAGCGCCCCCTGCAGATATGTTACAGAAAACACATCTGGGCTTCTTTCTACATTGCCTCCCAAGGGAGTCTCAGTTTGAGGCTCTTCCTGAAAAGTCTAACACATGAGAGAGGCGGGGTGAGTCTAACTAGCCACAGTTAGCCAATGAGATATATGACAAGACAGCTCTATGGACTTGTGGGTCACTTCCCTTTGTCTAAAGAATGACTCTTTCAAAAATGATAACCCCACACATCATATCACATTGAGAATTTTATTTGAAAAGAACAGGTATCTCCGGTGCACAAAGACTGCTCTGTGCTTTGTGCTAACATAATGACCTCAAGTGCTTTCCCAGAAATGACAAAGGAACTGATACAGGGAGTTCGTTTTCAACGGTGAGGTGTGCTGACCCCCTTTCCTTGGGTTTCCCTAAGAGTCCAGGGCAGAGCTTTATACAGCTCACCTCCTTGGGTTATGACTGTAAATCTGGAACAGACCTTGACATTCTGAATACTAGAATTTAATCAACAAGCTAAATGACATAGTGTAGCCTAAAGAAAGTCAATAGGTAAAACCACACCAACATATCTGTACACTTATGAACACATTTTGAAGTGAAAACAGAATTTTCTACTGGTCATCAAAAAAAAATGCATAAGAAACAAAAGGAGTGGAGACAAACCAGAATCTAAAATGACTTTGCTATTTCATGAAGCGCTAAGATATTTATCGAACCAAAAAATTAAAATGTATTATAATTTCTTTAATTATTAATGGACAAGGAAATGACATGGCAAATATGTTGAAGCTAGAGGAATGCTTATTAGGATGCTTAGTAAATGCACATGTTGTGTGACAAACTGTGTGACAAATGCCCTGAGTACAACCTTCAAATCATGTACTGGCTGCAGTCTGAAAAGCCACCAGCAAAGGATGAATCTGAAACTTACAAACAGATACAAATGCATCTGTGTACATATATTAGTAGTTTAAGTAAGTTAATGCAACTTGGATGACAATGGCCCACCCAATACAAGAGCCACAGACTATCTAACAGAAACCCTGTGCCGGTGTGGGAAACTTATGTTCCAGTTGATGGTCAGGTGAGTTCAACAGACTCCCACAATAATACAGGTTATTTCTACTGCCTTGGCTGACCCCCAGAGCCAGAATGTAATACTCTATTGCTAAATGTACTTCAGATAGAAAACTTGGAGGAATCTGCTAGTACTGACTTGGAAATTCCCTCCCTGCAGACTGGTTCTCATATTATGTAAAGATGCTATGAAAAGTGCCAAGGGAGAAAACCTGTCACTATTCCTACCTGGTTGTAAAGCCTACGGACCACAACAAGGACCAGTACAGCAGCCTATATCCAAGGGTGCAATAGTGGCACTTACATTTTGGTGGGCAGGGTTTGGTAACCAGCAGCCCTTCAACTGGACTTAAGGTCCATCAGTAAGAGGGAATTCATGTGTGGAACTGTAAATATAGTTGGCTACCCAGGACTGGCAAGGGCATGTATCTTAGAGAACAATGTATATACTGCTGATTTCCCAATCAGTATAATCCCAACTACCTTCTAAATACCTATTCTTATATGCACAGTAAGTGTTGCCTTCAGCTGCCATCCAAGAAGCTTCTTTTGCAGCAGTCATAGACCACTCGAGAAATCCACAAATCGTCAAGATGTAGTGGACAATTACCATTGGGGTGACCATGCTCAGTTATACATCTAAAAGGCAACCCCTACACGTTGGCTCAGGCAACATCAAGGAAGAAAAGAAATAATGATTGTAGGAACCATTGGTACAGGATGTTGGCTATTAGACAGTGTCTTCTGTAAATTTGCATCCATGAAATTTTAACAATATGGTCACCTAAACAACACCTACATGATGACAACCTGCCACTGTGGATACAGGGGCACTGGCAGGGTGTCTCATACGACCACACATTTAGAGAAAGAGCTTCAGCCAATTTATGGTTGCTAAGAGAGGGAGGATCAATCTAATCCAGGGAAGAAGAGACCTCTGACAAGTAATTCAATCCCAAGTGATAAGCAGATAACACATGAGAAACATTAACTAGACTCAGATTGCAATTATGATGCACATAGATATGTGTATAACTGTATCAATAAGAGTCACAAAAGAGGTCATGATATTGAGAGGGGTGGTGGTGTGCTGACTGGTTTATATCAACTTGTCCCAAGCTAGAGTCATTTTGGAAGATGAGGTTCAACTGAGAAAGTGCCCCTGCTTGATTGATGTGTGTGCAAACCTGCAATGAATCTTCTTGATTGATGATTGATGTGGGAGGGCCCAGTTTACTGTGGGTGGAGCCACCCCTGGACAGATGGTTCTGAGTGCTATAAGAAAGCAGGCTTCTTAAACCATGTCAGAAACCAGTCAAAGCAAAGAAAAAGCCAGCACTATTCCCTGGCTTCTGCTTCAGTCTGCTTCAGGTTCCTGCTTTGAATTCCTGCCCTGACTTCTTTCAATGATGAGCAGCGCTATGGAAGTGTAAGTGTAATAAACTCTTTCCTCCTGAAGTTGCTTTTGCCCTTGGTGTTTATCATGCAATAGAAACCATACCTAAGACAGTGAGGGATGGGAGGAGTTGGAAGGGGAGATATAAAATACACTACTTAGGTATGAAATTCTCAAAAAAATCAAATAAAAAAGAAGATATAAGGATAAAAAGAAAGAAAAGGTATCAGAGGCAGGAGATCTTACCTGTCATGGCTTGTTGATCGTCTACTGTTAGTTTTAAACTTTTTCCTCGACGAACCACACGCACCGTGTGCCATTCATTGTCATTGAGGTTATAGCCGGCAAAAAGGGTCTCAGGACCTTTGCCTGTAGAATATGCCAAACAGTCATTATGGGCAATCAGAATCAGACAAGACAATGAACCTTACAGAAAGTGAGAGGAGAGTGGAAAAGAGTGGAGAAGTGAGAGAGAAGAAAAAAGTGAGAGAGAGAGGAGAGAGAGAGAGAGAGAGAGAGAGAGAGAGAGAGAGAGAGAGAGAGAGAGAGGGAGAGAGGGAGGGAGGGAGAGAGGAGAAAAGAGAGTGGACCAAGCCCAATAGAGTCATAGCAAGCAAGTAAAATGACAAGTTAACAAACACTCATGTACAACAATTTAAGAACTTTTAACCTTTTGCATTGACATAAGATAAGAGAATTAACCTGCTCTCATAAATAGGCACATTCAATGTATCATTGGAAACCTTCCTAGTTTGTATGTACATCTTTTAATGAAAACTCTTGATACTTGAAGTGATAATTTTCTTAAGAGTGAAGGGGCTAGCAGTCATCTAATTTCTGAACCTTCTATTTGCTATTAGCACATATTTTCGGATGGAAATGGGTAAGGAGCCAATAGTACCCGGTGAGAATCTCTCTGTATGTCGGCTGCTCTTCAGATCTTAAACTGTGTATCTCCAAGACTCACTAAGTTTGTGGATTCATCAGCCTCTGAAATATATGGTCAGTTGAGTCTAAAAACCAGGTTTTTTTTTTAAACCTCCAGATAATGAATTGATCAGTTGCAATTTTATATATATGGTGGAGATGCTTTGGAATACATCAGAATAATAGTACCTTGAAAGAATTAGACAGACAATAAAAAGCCAAGAGGGGAAAAGGTGATGCTAACTAACAGGGACCAATAAATAAAAGGCCAAAATAAAGGAGGCAAATAGTATAGTCAAAAGGAACTCCCAAATGGTCTATGGAAAGAATTTAAATAGATTTAGAATAGACATTATTTGGGTAACATGTTCAATGAAAGTTACAAATTTGACCATATGGGACTATATCTGTCTTTAACTTGAAAACAAAAGGAAAGTGTTGACAAAAATTGTAATTTTAATAAAAGTGTTAAATATAAAGACCTAAATAAAAGCATTTAATAATATGATGATTCACTTAGAAGAATAACATGTTAAATATACATTAATTTGACTGGTGGATTCTCCTCCATTTTTAAAGCAATCATAACTTTTAGATGCATTAATACAGTGGTGGGCCTGGCATCATTTGCTTCCCTGACTTCTGTTGGTAGAGGGTCAGGAATGTCTTTCATGTCTTCCTCCACCAAATTCTATAGTTAAACCAGTTAACAGCGGGGATCATAGTGAACAAATAAGAATGTAAAAATATTTTCAAAGAGGGGAGAAAGGAGAGAAAAAAAGGTGTCAGCAGCACATTTATAGGAGCGCACTGCTAGCTGTGACAACCACAGACTATCCATACAGCCTTTTTCTTCTTCATGGTGCTACTTCATATTCAAAAGTCTTGTCTTCCTTGGTTACTCTCTGGCATTTAAGATTAGCCAAAAATGTAAGCTACATTTTTCAAGGGAATTGCCTCAACTCTTTAAATAGTGCCATCCATCAACCATCAAGATTTAGAAAGCATCTCTTGTTATTCTATAAAGGAGTTAGATGACATGTCCTGGTCCATGAATACGAACTATTCTGGAGAGGAAAGTTGTTAGGAATTGATCACTAAACAACTAGAGGAAGCTGTGAGTTCAGCATCTGCAAACACACAATGAGGCCACATGTTGAAAGCAAATCCTGGGATCAAAGGATCCCTTTTTAGCTTTAGTGGTGAAGAAGGGAGAGTTTAATAATGTCACAGCAGCTGTGTGTCCTGCTGGCAACCTGGGTCACCCTTACTTTTGATCTTTGAGGAGAGAATATATCATTTTAAAGCTATTTTTGTAGGGGAGATTTTTTTTCTTGGAAACATATGCTTGGGAAGTGGCTCTCCTCCCGTTCTTTTAATTCTAAATGTGTTTTGTTGAGAAAAAGCAGCACAAGGATGAGCTCATCCTCATCCCCCACCCTGGGCTTGATCTTGCAGTAAAATCATAATTCATCTGTGAAGCCACCATTTCCATAACAACAGACTTGGAATCCAATTAAAAACAAACCTTTGGTCCACGGAGCTCTCTGTGGGCCAACTTCAGACTTCTTTCTTGCATTATTAAAATGTGAACAGATTGATTTTAGAAGACAAGGCTCTTAGAAATGCACTTGATAGCCTCATTTCCCAACGAGGGTGATCACTTAACATGAAATGTAATGGAAAGTGTGCTGTGCTGGGAGTCAAGAATTCTGTGTGCAGGCCCTTGGTTTGCTGGTAGGAAGATGAGACCAGAGAGTGCACGCTGTGTACCAGATGCTTTATTTCATCTGTACATTGCTATCAACTTGTCGGTGTGAGACTGAATTCTTAGAACGGTAATGCCACTGGTTTCAGGGTCATGCAGCTTAAAGCATGATGGAGTGCTATCATCTCTCTAGTCTACTCAAAGCAAGCTTATATCTGCTTATATTGCAGAGCTTGCTGGCAATGAGACCCTTGTAATGCTAGCAACCTGGCTTCCTGTTTGTTCCCTGTTGCTAACTGAAGGATGTGGGTATGAGATTTCCTTTGGGATTGCTTTGAGTTTTTTTTGTACAGAATAGTTACACTGTTAGGACAACCTCTGCATCCTCTGTGTAGGCTCATCTGAATGAGAATCTTTGAACAGCACACTGGCCTCTCATGGAAGCTTAAATTGATGCTGCTAATGACACATGGTCCATCAATGAAAGACAAGTCTCCTTAGCTTCCTGTCTTCTCAATCCCTGTCCACAGTGGAGGACTCACTAGCTGATCTCTCCCATTCATTTAGAACCTTACATTTTCTGGATATTTAAAAATAGATGAAATTGTTAAAGAAAGGTGACTTAATAGTTCACATTATGAGTGGTGAGCCGTTCACCTCTTGGCAAACTTTTAATGGGAAAAATCATAGCCACTGAAGCTGTTAATTGCCTGAAGTCCATTGAGAGTTAGTTTGTCCTTTGAGTATATCAAAACATGCCTCAATTATACTAACATCTTTCTTTCAGGGATAATGTGTGTTGGGGGCCAAATATTTGTGAACCCCCAAACTCATATGTTAACTCTATTATTTGGTGTAATGATACATTAGGATATGGGGTCTTTGAGAAATAATAGAAATAATTAAGTTTGGAGGGAGTCCTGAGATTTGAGATCTTCTAACTCCAGTAAAAGGTCCTTTCTACAGGAAATGTTGCCCAGGAATTCTGAGAGAGGTGCAAAGTCCCATGGCAGCAAGAGTTTCCTTACAAATAGAGGAAGAGAATGCAAGCTAGTTCAGCCATGTGAAGATGCTGGGAGAATGCAGCTTTATGTAAGCCAGGAAGAGACCCTGACCAGAGACCAAGACTACATACAGCTTGATCATGGACTTCCAAAAAGATGAGGAGAAAGATTATGCATGCTATAGTGTTTTGTTATAATAGCTTTAGTAGGAGAGACAAAACTTTTTAAGGAAGCACAACACATTGTTTCTTTTCTGTAGAGAATAGATTTATATGCAAACTAAGTTTCAAAGGCAATAGGAAATGGAATTAAGACAGATTTGAGATCTTCCATTGAAATTGAAAGTCTATAGAAAAATGTTGCCTGGGAATTCTGAGCGAGGTGCAATGAAGCCCAATACCCTCAGCTAAGAATTTGCAAGATAGCATCAGGATTTAGCTTTACATGCTGTTATTTCAAAGACTTTTAGAAGCAGAACTATGAGGAAAGGGGATAGAAGCTGTGTGCAGTTTTGTTAGCATGTTGGTTCTTTTTTATCAGAACTTATTCTAAGCTATGGAACAATTCAGTTTGCCATACATTAGCTCAAGTGGCTGGTTCTTGCACAGAATTCCATGAATTCGAGAGCCTCTAAGACTTACCCTTAGGAAGCCAAAAATTAAACTGAACTTGAGGTAAAGGGGACAGATGAAGGGATGAAGGTTGTGTG